AAGCAACTTCCTCAAAGACTGAAAATACATGCAAAAAGCTCCAAGAGCCTCAAGAAAAGTTGTTAAAATTTAGTCAAATTTCAGCAATAACAGTATCCTCCTTAACCCTTTTTTAGCCAGGTACAAACTGAGTATCAGTATAATCCACTACATACAGTAATGCGACAGCTCTCTAAAAAGCATGTAATAAGCAGCCCTTGACTAAAGTTTAAACAAACTGCACCTCTGCACCTGCAAATTATATGCGCTGGAAATCATATAGCCAAAATACAGTTTAAGCAAGTGGAATGTTATAGCCACAGAAACAGAGTGCCATCAGTATTGGAGTATCAGTCAAAAACTTACCATTTCTGTCTTTGGAGATATTGAGAAATGTATTTTGTCTTGCAGTTTATTGCTAGTTGCTCTCCTTGTTCTGCTACTGCTTAGAGGAAAAGCAAACAAAACAAAACTAAGACATCGTAAATCACCCTGCAGTGTAACAAATAAATGTATCTTCAGAGTGAGTTCACACGGTCCAGTGTGGCAATCTGCAAGCTGAAATCATACTGAAGCATTTCTATTCAGCTTGCACTCTTTCTCCAGAAAAAAATAAATGCTTAAGCAATCACTAATCAGAGCCCAGGCTGAAAAACATCCTTTCTTACACCATAAAAGAGCTGGCTAACAAAGGGGAAGGAAAAGAGAACAGACAATTTACTGCAGGTATCATTCTCATGTTTAAGGATGAGCACCAACCTGTCTGGCCTGGTGCATCTGCTAGAGAAGGTCAAGTTTCTAAATGCTGCTGTTGAGGGGGAAGGAGGAAAAGCAAAAAGAGTTGAAGCTCAGCTACTGCATCATCAGAAGCCAGGCCATTTGAGGCAAGTCTAAACAACGATACATAGTTCCTACCACACTGACGGGTTCCAAAACCTGCAGTCAGGCACCAGAGCTGGCACCAGACTACTCAGTGAGCAGCAAAACCACCAAGACCAGTATCGTCTCCTAGCAACTATGAAAATGTATTGACAGCTCAGAAGAAAAACACCTCAGTTTAAAATTACAAATCCATATTTTTTCTCAAATGCTTCATGATGCATTATATGAAACATGTCTCTGGAATGTGGATCTCTGGTGGAAGAGAAGTTCAAAACACTTTCTGTTCATTTGTGCTGAACTACATACCTAGAATCATAAAATGGTTTGGGTTGGAAGGGACCTTAAAGATCATCTGGTTCCAAACCCCCTGCCGTGGGCAGGGACACCTTCTACTAGACCAGGTTGTTCAAAGCCCCTAGATTCTGTGGTCATACAGAGTGTAGTCATGCTATTCACCTATAATAATCCATGCAAGCATAGGGAGCAGTGCTCAGCCCATCCTCAAGTAAGCACCTGCTAGATGCGAGCTCTGAGTAGAGCTCCATGTGTCTCTAGGCCAACCTGCTCGCACATAGCCAGGTCTTGTTTTGGGTACAGCTGAGCTGGGCCCAAGGAAAGGCATTTACCAGTAAGCAGTTTGATTGCATTGATACTGTCAAGGAAGAATCACAAGAATCTTTTAAGAATCATAAATCTTGCATTTCTTTGTATTAGTTGGTTTTATTATTCTACTTTTACACGTCCCTTGCCACATTGCAATACTTTTTTTTAAAAAACACATCTGCCTCTCTAATCTGTGTTTGGAAACTATGTACTTTCTTAATTCACCAATCTGAGTTAACACGAATACTCCTCCCTTGGAGCACTATGTACAGTTCTGGTGTCCTGAACATAAGAAGGACATGGAACTGTTGGAACAAGTCCAGAGGAGGGCCTACGAGGACTGGAGCACCTCCCGTATGAAGATAGGCTGAAAAAGTTGGGGCTGTTCAGCCTGGAGAAGAGAAGGCTGCGTGGAGACCTCATAGCAGCCTTCCAGTATCTGAAGAGGGCCTATAGGGATGCTGGGGAGGGACTCTTCATTAGGGACTGTAGTGCCAGGGCAAGGAGCAAAGGGTTAAAACTTAAACAGGGGAAGCTTAGATTGGATATAAGGAGGAAGTTCTTTACTGTAAGGGTGGTGAGGCACTGGAATGGGTTGCCCAGGGAAGTTGTGAATGCTCTATCCCTGGCAGTGTTCAAGGCCAGGTTGGACAGAGCCTTGGGTGACATGATTTAGTGTGAGGTGTCCCTGCCCATGGCAGGGGGGTTGGAACTAGATGATCTTAAGGTCCTTTCCAACCCTAACGATTCTATGATTCTGTGTGACCAAAAATTAACATTCCATTTAGCAACTGTATCTTTCCATCAGATGATCTTCTGTAAGCCAGCCAAATTGAACATGAAGGTACATTAGTGAAAATAAGGATAATCAGTGACTTTGAAACGCTGCAAAAAGCGGTCTGCATACCATGTCACCAACGACAGAGAATACATGTTACAGGAGCTGATCAGAAGTTACAGAATCATAGAATTGTTTAGGTTGGAAAAGACCTTTAATATCATCGAGTCCAACCGCTAACGTAGCGCTGCCAAGCCCACCAGTAAACCATATCCCTAAGTGCCACATATACACATCTTTTAAATACCTCCAGGGATGGTGACTCAATCACTTCCCTGTGCAGCCTGGTCCAGTGCTTGACAACCCTTTTGAAGATATTTTTGATAATATCCAATCTGAACCTCCCCTGGTGCAACTTGGGGCAGTTTCCCCTCACTTGTTATAGAAGCAAACAGCAAAGTAGCATCTGAAGGAAAAGCTCTCCATATGAAAACAGTCTCTGGAGGAACAGATTATATACTTCATTAATTGCATCTATTATGCATTTGGTTAAAAACTTTTAGTATTTGCTGACAATAAAAGGACTTTAGGAAACCCATGCTGTCACTAGTTACATCACATGGTCTCACCTTTTGGTTGAGGTTCTCTGCAAGAACTATTTGTGTCTTTCCCACCAACCATGGACCTTTTTTAAAGGTATGTAAGCTATAGTAGAAGTACTACCTGATGGATGCTTCCTTTTCTTGAATGGGCACACCAGAAAAGGTCTTTTTCCTAGATAGGTATTCTTCAACCTTTTGCCGTCTTTGTACTAGTGGGTTTAAAAAAGAAAAATAAAGATTTACTACATTTTCTGTTATATTAGTAATACCAAATTTTGCCTCTCAAAAAAGGAAATGCAATTAGAAATGTATCAAGAAATGATGAAATGTAGACACTGTGGATAAAGAAAGTTTAATATTCACATCTTATGATGTCTTACACATTCTCTCATTTCTTAAGAAAAGCTATTCAAGGGGCGGTTGAATGTAATTTCACAGCTATACAAGATGGTTGGTTTGCTGCATTAAGCTAAAAGAAATCATGATGGGAAGAAGTCCAGGCTCACTCTTCTACCTTCTGGATGCCTGACCAGTATTTCACACATTGTTGGTTCAGCAAGCACACTTTGCTTGTAATGCAAGTATAGCACACATGAAAAACACCATGCACTTGAATCTGACCATTGCAAAATCATTCGCTTCTCTTCCATCTGCACAAATGTTGGACCAACAGCAGTGTTAGTAACAGCAGGAAATGATACTGAAAAGGTCTGAAGCCAGCTGTCACTGTCTTAATACAGAGAGTGATTCCAGAACAGGATACTTTCTCATGTTTTCAGTGGCTTACTGCGTGCTAGAGACTTGCATCTTTCATAAGACTATACTGTTGTTCTTTTTCAGAGAACATTCCTTGTTCATGTAGGGAGTTAGTGACCTTGGCTTGCTGGAAGCAGCTGGGATAAGACAGCCCTGCCACCCAAAGGAATCTCAAGCATCTACAGAACCAGTCTAAACAGTTAAAACTCCAAATCTCAACAGTTTCATATGCAGTAGGATGTGAGAGCAAGAAGTTGGAGCATTATCTTTGACTCAGAACAATAATTACTTTATGGTATTCAGAACTCATGGCATTGCACCATCCCCCAACATAGGCAGGGCTCACTCAGCCGTGGAAGTCTCCAATGAACTCACATATAAACCCCCACTTCTGCCCCTTCCAGGCAGGCAGAAGTCGCCTTTTGAATCTCTTTGCATGTGTTCATTATCTTTCATGTTTTGTCCAAGCCCACGCTGCATGAAGCCCTAGAGGGTGCACGCATGGCCTGCTTCTGAAGAGGTGCACACCAGCGGGGTACCTGCTAAGAGACGCTGCAGAGCAGCGATCTCAGTGTGCATCCCAGAGCATCCTAGGCACCTTCTGCTTCTGAAATTCGAGGCCTGCGGAGTCCAAAGAGCAAAGCCCCGTCAAAGCAATTCCGCTTACTGAACTTGCAGAAGGCAAACCGGTCAGAAAATAACGAACAGAGGAGTACAGGTGTATGTCGGAGCATTTGCATGTTTCAATAGGATGCTCTTAGATTAAGACGTGCCTTTTACCGTGAAGAAAGGCTCTCGCTCCAGAAGCCCTGCCTGGGGGCGAGCATTGGCCCCAGCTCTGCAAGAAGAGGCTGAGGTCTCATACCCTCGCTCGCACCGGTCAGCTCTGAAACCACGATCGCGACGGCCGCTACCAAGGCCTGCCCGGTTTCCTACCTTTCCTGAGGCGCTCGCCCCCTCCTCCCTCTCACCGCAGAAAGTGGCCAGCTCCCCTCTCCCATCGGTTCCAGCTGCGGCCTCACCCGGCGCTACTCGGAGCAGCAACGAGGGACAGCCCCGGCAGAGACCGGAGGGCGCTCCATCCCCGAGGGGCTCGGTACCCACCCTCAGCCTTACCTCTGTAGAGCGGATCGGACCTGCGGCTGTCCGGCAGCCAGGGCACCGAACGCGCCGCCATCACCGCCCAGTATTAAGCTGGTCGTTGCGGGGCCGTTTGAATCTACCGCCGCGCCGCACCTCCCGACTGGGCCGGCCGCGGGGCTTGAACTGGCCAATGGCGAGAGGGGAGGGGGCACGCCGGCAGAGCGCGCGCGGCTGTGACCGTTGGGCGGGTACTCCTGCCGCGGCGGGAAAATGGCGGCGCGCCCTCAGGCGGCCGCTAGGGGGCGCGGGGCTGCCGAGGATAGGCCCTGCTGTGACGGCGGCTGCGGGCGGGGAGCGGCGGCCGCGGCTGCGGCCTGCTCTGCCGAGAGCGAGGGAAGGGAAGGGGCTGAGACATGGACAGGTTCTCGTGGACCAGCGGGTTGCTGGAGCTGGGGGAGACGCTGGTGGTGCAGCAGCGCGGCGTGCGCCTCTACGACGGGGAGGAGAAGGTGACGGGAGCGCTCCCGCTCGGGGCCCCGCGGCCCTGCTAGGCCCAGCGAGCAGGGGGAGGGGGGAAAACGTCTCGGCCGTGGACGCCGGCCAAGGCGGGCGGCGGTGGGGGACGTGGCTGCGGGTAGTATCCGGGGGGGGGGGGGGACACGGGACGCGAGGAGGCGAGGCGTGAGAGGGGGCTCCGGCTGCAGGCGGAGAATCCGTCAGCGCTGAGAGAGGACAGTACTGATTGCTCCGGGGTCCGGCCCAGGGAGAGGACTGTTAGGGAGGTGATCCAGGCTTTGTGGCTGAGAAGGGGCTCGAGCGGCGTGTGCCACACGGGCGCACTGCTGGGCATGTGTAGCTGGTGACACTGTCATGGTGTCCCCTATGTGGGCTGTCACTTCCCGTGTCAGGGCTGAGCACTTCTTTGATGTCATGTATACGTGTCGTACAATTCACACCTGTGTCATCCCGGTAGATGTAAAATGCCTTCTAGCTCTGCTCCTGAAGGGTGCTCTCTTGCATCGTTGGACAGGGTGCTGGGGCATATAGTCCAGGCCAAGCTTTACCTGAGAAGATGGGACCAGATGATCATCGAGGTCTCTTGCAATCTGATATTCTGTGATTCTATCAATATCCGAGCCTACCCACTTACTGCTTTGCTTCAATGCTGGACTAAACTCTTGATTTCTTATTTTTATCACATGGCAGTAGTTGCATACCCTCATAAAAAGCTGCCTGAGGTTTTGCGTAGGAAGCAATTTGCTAACGCACATTTCTCACATAGTGATTGCTGTCTGATAAATAAAGAACTTCTAAACAAGCAATACTCGTGTGATCGGAAGATTTCAGACTGTGCATAGCGTCTGTATAGTGTAGGTGGCGCTGCTTTTTTGTATAACTTCCACTTTCTTTGTCAACACGTAGTGTTCCAAAGCCAATAGCCCTGTTTAAAACATGATATTTAAGAATGTTTGTGTATCTTGCACATATGGAGGGAGGATCTTTCAGGATATCCTAGGGGGAAAATTTATGTAGTTGAAAAAGGAAGTTTGTGTATATCCATCTAGGCCTTTTATACTAATTTCTCCATTGTTTCCTAAACTTGATTTATTGTGTTTTCTGAAAAAAAAGAAAGTGCTCTCAAAATATTGGCTTGTTGCATCTGATCGCTGTGTTGTGGTAATGTGTAATGTTTTCAAGATGAGTATTTATGCATTTTACTGGTTAAATTTGTTGTTGATATGTTTAATTTTTCCTGTTTAGGTAAAATTTGATAGTGGAGTATTACTGCTTAGCACACACAGGCTACTTTGGAGGGACCAGAAGAATCATGTAAGTCCTACTTTTGTCTCTTTCTATGCTATTCAATTGTAAATGCCATAATAAACAACAGATAGTTTGCCACTGAAGAGACTGCACATGGAGAGGAGGTTTTTCTTCCCTTTGTGAGTGTTTTGTATTAGAAGTGTAGTCCGTTTTTTGCCTCACAGTAGAAAGAAAGTTACGTTCAGGAATGATCTTTCACCCAATTCTGCTTTAATAAAATAATCATGCAGAGATGAGGAGGGATGGGAATGAATCATACAGATTTTCCTTTTCTGCAGAACAGAAATAGAACAGAAGAGTCTGCTCTCATACACTAAGACGTGTTGGATTTAAGACTGATGTTGAATGTGTCAGGCAGATCATCATATTAACTCCTCTCCCATACTCCTTGTCCAGCAAGACCTTTTCTTCCTCACTGCTTTCAAGTCCAAGTTTCCCTGTCTTCTGCTTCCACCATGCCATGACTTGCTAATGGGATGTGGTTTGTGGCAGTATTGTTTTCTCTGGGTTTTACCTTCCCAAGTGCTTGTTCCTGCGCTGAACCATCCCTTCAAGAAGCCAGAACATCTGTCTGTACTGCTATGGAGAGCTGACTCAGAGCTCAGGTGACAATCAGAACTGCAGTGTAGCAATACTGCTGCTGAAGCCACAGACTGAGATTGCAGGCTGAAATTGAAGACAAAACACATGCAAAACTCTAAGTAGACTGTGACAGCATGCACCATTTCACAGTTGCAGTTAAGGAGAAGTCCTAATCTGAACCAGGTTCGATTATGCTTGTTTTAGACACAGTATTTTAGAAACTTAGCCCTGGAAGCCAAAATTTAGACAGAGCATGTTCAGATGACAGCTTTTTAAAGGCAAATTATATTCCACTGGGCTAGTTTAAGCAAGGATAGCTGAAGCACATCTCGCACCCAGAAGCCTCTCCCTACCAAATACCACATCCTTGCTCCAGAGCAGGGAACTACTTAGAGCCTTCTGAAGGTAAAGTCACTGAGGATGTTCTTAATTTGGCAAAGCGATATATTTTTTCTTTACAGATTGTTTACAGGAACAGCAGAACTATTTTTAGTACTAATTTTTCAATATGTTTTGAGAGCTGGTCCCGGGGTGGGGTTGTTGTTAAACAAGTTGGGGGTTGATTGTCCAGACCATGACCTATTCTCTGTAAACTAACTTTTTGGTTTGGGTACTGTCAGCGTGAGATTACTTATCTGTGCATCTCTTTTTGAGAGGTGGGCATGTACTGCAACATGCACTGCTTCTAATCTTCTGGCTTGGACATTTTGCTTGCTTGGAGTAACATTAAGCATTATGGTTTCAGCAAGTCTTGCAACTGTCCATATCCCTGTTCTCTCCTTCCCCACAAAAGGATGACATTTGTCTCTTTTTCCTGACCTCTCACCCTGCTCCTAGGCCACATGGTTTCTTGTACTCTTCCCAGGTAGATGAATTTGCTAAATCAACAGAGAAGAACCTTTGAGAATAAAAAAAATAGTTTCAAGTTTCAGCAAAGATTTTGACAAGTTCCAGGCTTGATTAACAGACAGGGCAGAAATATGTGTCCAGGATGTTGGCAGAAATTACCCAGTTCTCGTCAGGGACAAATATAGATCACTGGTGTGGTAAATCAAGCTGCTTCTTTTTCACGCTCTTAGGACTGAAACATGGGTAGCACAGTGCCCTTTTATTTTCATGGTGAGTTGTTGGCTAATTTCAGCTGTGATATAACATCAGCCTTAGAAACCTTACCTAGCATACCCAGAATAAACCTGTAGAGAGTTCCTTTTTTTTTTTTTTTTGGTGTGTCAGCAGACTTGAGTAATAAATGAGGCACTTGTCATTGGGTTAACATAGCAAACCGTTGTACAAAGCCAAACAGTTGTGTTTTATGGCTGCTGTTGTTACATACCACCTGCAGTTGAACAGTATCAAAAATACAGAGATTTGCAGAGGGAAAAAAAAAACAAAAGTAAATCTTGCACGTTTATTACATAGCTATATCTGTACAACATTTTAAGTGATAAAATCATGCATAATGTGAGTATGAGACATTAGGAAAAAATCCCAAATAAACAGCATTTTTAACACATCTCTCTTTTTGTATTGCTTCTCTCACCAGAAAGGGGTGATTCTAAGACATTATGCTTGCATTAAGTTCATAACTTCCTAGCTGTGAACTAAATGAATCAATCAGTTTGACAGTATACATGCTACATATGGTTGGACTCTTTTGGCATGTTCAAAACCTTTTTTTAACAGAAGTATCATTTTGCCTGTGTTTAAAGTGTCCAGAACTATGTGAGCATTTTGCCAAGCAGTAACTCTTTTCTGTAATGGCTGTAGAATCTGGAGCCACAGAAGGATCTAGATAGCTTGTATTAAGAGGTTTTGTAACAGAAAGTGCAACCCATGTTCTTTCCTAATGATGGATTTACTCATTAGTTAAAGTCTCTGCATATCTGCTTTGCTAATCTCCAATTTAATGAGTATTTAATTATTCCATGCAGAGGAACAATTTTTGTAGTAGGGATTGAGAGGGCCCTGTAATGGTGTTCATTATAGCTTGGTGTTAGGCACAGCTTCTTGGCAGATGGAAGAGAGAGGTTCCAAGAGGGAGCACAACTTATGCTTCCTGTATCGTGGGTGACCGTCAGTCACCAAGCTGTGTTGCAGAAGATGATGTTCACCAAAGGATATTCACCAAAACAAGACCAGGCACCTAATTAGGTGCTTTGTTGAATCACCCCCCTGAGCAATTTCTATCTCAAGCATATAAGTTTAGCCTATTCTCCCACAGATGGGTACAGTCTTGTTTCTTGGTCTGCTTTGTTTTGTCTAAAGCACAGTCCACTAAATGTGTGCTGAGATGCATCAAGTACTGGATTAAGTCAGTGGGTGTGGGATAGGTGGAGAAATTCCTCTTCCACTTGGAGGATAGTCTAGCTGTTTAAATATTCAACAAAAGCACAAAAGACTGGTGCTTTTAGATACTATTTTAGCTCCCAAATATCAATGCAAAAATGTTAAGAACCCATAAGTATTGTTCATTCAGGGATAAGCTGCAGTAGTGTCAAAATTTTAGTGTGGAAGTTTTGAACTTAGATACCAAAGACTTGTTAAATTCCTGAGTCCTTCTATGAATGAGGTGTTAAAAGTAGGCAGGATATGTCTTTAGAATCATAGAATAGTTAGGGTTGGAAAGGACCTTAAGATCATCTAGTTCCAACCCCCCTGCCATGGGCAGGGACACCTCACACTAAACTATGTCACCCAAGGCTCCGTCCAACCTGGCCTTGAACACCACCAGGGATAGAGCATTCACAACTTCCTTGGGCAACCCATTCCAGTGCTCACCACCCTTGCAGTAACGAACTTCCTCCTTATATCCAATCTAAGCTTCCCCTGTTTAAGTTTTAACCCTTTGCCCCTTGCCCTGGCACTACAGTCCCTAATGAAGAGTCCCTCCCCAGCATCCCTATAGGCCCTCTTCAGATACTGGAAGGCTGCTATGAGGTCTCCACACAGCCTTCTCTTCCCCAGGCTGAACAGCCCCAACTTTCTCAGCCTGTCTTCATATGGGAGGTGCTTCAATCCCTTGATCATCCTCGTGGCCCTCCTCTGGACTTGTTCCAACAGTTCCATGTCCTTTTTATGTTGAAGACACCAGAACTGCACACAATACTTCAAGTGAGGTCTCAAGAGAGCAGAGTAGAGGGGCAGGACCATCTCCTTTGACCTGCTGGTCACATTCCTTTTGATGCAGCCCAGGATACGGTTGACTTTCTTTAATTTTATTTGTATTTGCATTGATTATTCCAGGAGTGCTGCATTGCTGTACCTCTGTCTCAGGTCGTCTTTATTGAAGAGCAAGCAGCTGGGATAGGAAAAAGGTAAGGTCATTGTCTTTTTCAGATTGATAGTTTGCACATGCATGTTATGTGAGGTACCCAAGATTATATATTAATTCATGGTAGGTTCCATTTGCAATCTAAGTTTCCAGACTGACAGCTACAAAGACCTTCTTGCCTCACTTGAGGTCAAATGTGTAAGAGTCATGACAAAAGAGTGTCTGATGTGATTTGTTAAATAACTTTCCTGTAATCGCTAAGCAAGTATGTGTTCTAGCTTAGATTTGATTAGTCATAAATGGCAACAGTGATTTTTCTGGATCTAAATTTGAAAGCTAATTCTAGTCTTTTGTGCCACAGAACTGGTTGGGGATAGAAACTGCCATGTATTACACGTTTTTTCATGACCATATGAGTGATTTTGAATGTGGAAATGCTAGCAATAGTTAGAAAGAACTCAAGTGTTTCCACTTACTTGAATAACTAACTCAGTATGGTATGTGTATAAAGAAGTGTATAAGCCAGCAGCATGCCCAGGTGGCCAAGAATGCCAAGAGCATCCTGGCCTGTACCAGAAATAGTGTAGCCAGCAGGACCAGAGAAGTGATTGTCTTGGCACTGGTGAGGCTGCATCCTGAATACTGTGTTCAGTTCTGGGCCCCTCACTGCAAGAAAGGCATTGAGGTGCTGGAGTGGGTTGAGAGAAGGACAATGAAGCTGGTGAAGGGTCTGGAGCACAAATCTAATGAGCAGTGGCTGAGGGAACTGGGGTTGTTTAGCCTGAAGAAAAGGAGCCTGCCACTCTCTTTCTGAAAGGAGGTTGTAGCGAGGTGGGTGTTAGTCTCTTCTCACAGTTAAGAAGCAACAGGACAAGAGGAAATGGCCTCAAGTTGTGCCAGAGGAGGTTTAACTTGGCTATGAAGAATAACTTCCATCACCAAAAAGGTTCTCAAGTGTTGGAACAGGCTGCCCAGAGAAGTGGTTGTGTCACCATCCCTGGGCAGCCTGTAGATGTGACATGGTTTAGTGGTGGACTTGGCAGTGCTGGGTTAACAGTTTGACTTGGTGATCTTAAAAGTCTTTTCCAGACTAAATAATTCTGTGATTCTAAGTTTCACAAGAAAAAGAGAAAAAAAATAATGCAGATATATATATGTAGTTGACAGCTGCTTGCAGCCTACAGAATGGGTGAGGTAATATCTGAGGGTTTCCAGAAGAAATCAGGTAATTCACTAATAAAGACCCTTGAATAAGTATCAGTACAATGAAATGGGAACGGTGGATTTACAGTCGTGCTGTGATAGCAGTCTGTTATGTTCCTAAAAAAATGCTATCGCAAGGTTTGTTTTGGTGGTAGGTGTCGTTTTAGACTGTTATTTCCATGCATGTTACCTTTGAATGTTGGTTTTGGACAAATTGACATGCAGTGTTTGCAAGTGGGATCCAAGTGGGATAGATTAAATGTAATACTGAGACCTTTTGTTTTCCTGTGACAGAGATACTGTATTTTGGCAGTAGTTACTGCAAGTCAAAAGCCATCTCAAATACTAGTTTTTATCATAACTAAAAGGTTTTTCAGAATTTGCTACTTCAAATGTACAAATTTGTCAAATTTATCTTTTTTTAGGAGTTGGTGGTGCATACTTTTTAAATTTTTGAGATGTTTCAGAAGTTGTTTTCATGCAAGATCTATAGTATTTAGTCAGAATACTTAAATGTTAATGCACAGTCATAAAGCATTATTGACGTACTTCAGCACCTATGTGAGATAAAGTTAATAAAAGTTTTGATTAAATAGTCAACTTTGATCATAGAAAATTTTTTTTAGATATTACAGAAAGTTGCCACTTCTCTTTCCTTTTTCTTAGTGCTAAAATAGTGGTTCATCTTCATCCTGCTTCTTCAAACAAAGAGCCTGGTCCATTCCAAAGCAGCAAATATTCCTACATAAAACTTTCTTTCAAAGAACATGGGCAGATTGAGGTAAGTTTTGTACCATGCAAGCCCAGCACATCAGATCTTTGGACATGCTTTTCTCCTCTTGCTGTGTTAGTGATAATTTTCCATGATCTTTCCATGTTTGCCTTTGAGGTGGAGCTTTTTCAATACATCCTTTTTGAACACAAACGTTACGAGGCTTCAGAGTTCTATACTTTGATTAAATCACACACATAGAGTTCTAGAAATGTTAAGAAGCATTATTAGGCTTTTTTTCTTATGTTAGTACTTTTAATGTAATGTTACACTTCTTTTTTAAATCTTTTAAATTGACCACAGGATTTTCCAGAATGACATCTCCAAAATCTGTTAAATGTTTAACAGAATAAAAGATGTTTCTTTGTACTTAATGCTTTACTGAACAGGAATCATGCAACTTACTCCTAATCATCACTCTAATTTTAGTGCTGAATACTTTCTGTTGCCTCAGAGCTTTGTTTCATTTTATGCCTTACAAATCTTTAATTTATTTTTATCTACACTGAATTTCAAAGGCTTTGAGCAGGCTGGAAAAAAAAACATGCTCTATTTTTAAAAGAAGGCTTATCCTAAAAATTGTGAAGAAATCACACTCTGTAAATAAATCTTGCAGTATATGATCCTCACTTGAAGAGACTGAGAACTTTAACTTTGATATCAGATTTTCAACTTGGAATTACTTATAAATGCCTTACAAACGCATGTGCTTGATTAGCCTCATTCATTGCTTTGTGAGCAGTTTTCGGTTCAGGATGAGCATAGATTTATGCTTTGTTATAATTGTTTTGGTGTTTTGCCTAATTGTAACCTTGTTTATTTTCATGTTGATGTTCATGTCTGAAAATCAAACATACAATGCTTACTGGTTCCTTCCCCAGCATATCAATTACACTCCAGATCTTTTCTTTATAAATTTGGAATGCTTTCCTGTGAACCCTGAACGACCATAAGAAGGGAATGGGTTTTGTTTCTGGATTTTGGTCAGTGGGATACACTTACTATTAACTAATGCCACATTCTGTTATTAGCAGTAAACAAATAAGTGTAATTGATCTGTGTGGTTTTCTTTATACGGCTGAACTAACAAATCAATAGTAATCGTATTGTTCAGCTTCCCTTCCATTTAAAAGCATGCCCTTAAGCAAACCTTGACATTTTTAACTTTAGCATGTTTTGGAACATTTTTGAATATCTGAAGAAAATATTTTACAATAGAAGTACTTAAGCAAGTTTAACTTGTAACTACATGGCTCCTCCACTAATGCATGTGTTTTTGAAGATTGGACATTAAGAATTTCCTGATAATGAATGTTGTACTGTGGATGGGTAGGTGTGACCATGCTTTGTCTGACAGTGAAATTTATTTAGTCTACCACCAAGATGCTAGAAGTATCCAGAAGTACTCCACACGGTTTATGAAACTGAGTTGTCACTCTTTAATGCTTGCAGTTCTATAGACGATTATCTGAAGAAATGACACAAAGGAGATGGGAGAACATGCCTACTGGTCAGACCATTCAAGTTAACAGGGACCCACAGGTATTTGCAGAGCTGCCGAGCAGAATCTGTATGTAATCTCTTGGTTCCACTTCTTGTTGTCCCCTTATACTGCAGCTGGCATGTCTCTCTAACCAACATCATGGGTACAAGTGGAAATTCAGCTTTACTTTGCCTGTTTCTTCACTGGAACAAATTAGTTCCTCCTTTGCATTTTTCACCTGATAGAGAACATTTTACCATCTCTTTCTTGAGTGTGTTTAGACTTGAATGAGATCAGTTTTTTTAGTGTAGTGACACACATACACACACAGTTGTGCCAATATTATACATATTTGCATACATTTTTATTCAGCATGAGTGATCGAATGAAGCTGAAAGATTTTTGGTTTTAGTTGTGATTTACGTTTTATTTTTTTGTGGCTGGAAGTCAAATATACAACACGTAATTTTTATATAACTCTCTAGAATCTATTTAATTCTTTGTGTTCTAAATGGACAGTGGTTATGGAGAATCTCTGCCATGTTAAATTGCCTTCTTTATCTGTCTTTATACTTCTAGGTTATAAACTGTGATAAACATGTAGATGTTGTTTCATGTAGTACTACATGAACAAAGTAATGATTTAAAGATTGTTCAGTGACTAATCACATATGTTCTTTGTAAATGTAGTACCTATAAATTTTGTTGCATTTGGACTGATGGGGAAGCCTGTGTCAAGAATCACTTAATGAGAATGCCTTACCTCTTGTTCTTATTATTAAACCATAGCAAATGGTTAACAGTAGTGGTAAGCTTTGCAGTCAGAGGTCTGTGGGATGGCACCACTGTAACTTAGGTACCAGCCTTTCTAAAATGCATTTGGCGTCAAGTGAAAGGTTCACCATCACCTCCATTCTGATATCTCTCAACAGTGTAAATTAGACTGTACTTAGCATCATGTTTCTATGGCTATGTTTTTTCAGGATAGATTTCTTGAGATAATCATGTTTAGATACGTATTTCCACAGGTCTCATATGGATGTTCATATGGACTGGGAGGCTTTAATTGAGATGAGCTGTGATGATCAGTCGAGATCAGGCTATTAAGCATCTTCATATTAATAGCTTCAATAAAATAATCTATTATCTGTCTACTACAGCAAATTCATACATGTTTTACACTTACTGTGTGTTTTTTTGCACTGGTTTAAAAAATATTTTTTCACGAAATAGATGAAATATTGTATACATAATACTAGCTCTTTGGGGGAACATTTCCTGTCTTATAATGTAAGGTTTTTCACAGAGAGGCGGATGAGAAAACTTAGCATTTCCTATTTTTATTCCTTTCATTATTTTCTTTTGCAGGCAGGAAGAATAAGGGCTGTAGGAATTGTAGGGATCGAAAGGAAATTGGAGGAAAAGAGAAAAGAGACTGACAAAAACATTTCCGAGGTAAATACACTGAATTTTCAAGGTCAAACACCTGTCTGAACCATTTACATTCATTCACATTTTCTTTTAGGGGCAACTGAGACTATTTATTGTTTCTTTTGGGAAGTCTGAATTGTTCAAGAGTGTATAATTTACAGTTATTTACCTTGTTTAACTGGTTTTTCACTATATGTAAAGATACTTCGTTTAAGCAGTTCCTTTCAAGAAGGCTGTTCTTTGAAACTAAAGTGTGTATTTGTAAAATTGATTTTGGTAGAATTAGAAATATGAGTTCAGTAACTTTTCATCAAGAAAAACAGGACACAAAGGCACGTGCAGAAAGAGGCTATTACAAGTTTGGGGTTTTTATAGCTAATTTTGGTTTCAATTGAAAATTTAATATCTGTTAAGAAAAATACGCTGATCCAAGTGTCTGCACATAACTGTGGTGAAGTTAGCTTTTAATGTTATATATATTCAGGTTTTAAATGTTGGGTTTAGTCTTATAGTTACCATAACCTGTTTTACAGTCCAGGCATCAGCAAGATCTTACAAGTATCTTTGTGAAACACCTGGGCTTGGTGGAGCCATCCTTTTCTCCAGAAACAGCACAGTAGTTGAATTTTAGATACCAGTACTGATGGACAATAGGCAGTTAATTTCTTCATATATACCAGGGAGCAGTATCCTCAAAAATAGGCTGGTTCTGTCTTGGTAGTAGAGATTGATGCAGAAACATAACTGCATGCAACAGGTTCATTTTCATGGAAAAGCTTTATGGGTTTCAGTATGCCACAGTGAAAAAGGCATTCACTGATCTGGTACGTAAGAAAATTATAGCACCTTTGCAGGCTGTGTGTTCTTTCAGATACTGGTAGCATTAAACGTTTTCCTTTCTGTTTATGAGGAATGTAATGAATGAAGTTCTGTGTGTAGTTCAAAAGGTATTGTAGTTATGTGCATGTGTATATAGTTCAAAAGGTATTGTCTGGTTATTTTTTCCTTTAGTAGCTTTGTCAGAAAGTAAAAGAAATCCATTTATATGTGTTGTATGAACGGAGGAAAACCATGACTTGTAAAATCCTGCCTTCCTCCAGCTTTAAATGTTGTAAATGACTTAATTTGAAAAATGGTGCCCTGGCTTCCAGGAAAAGGCTTCCTGCATCTGCTGTTCACTGCTGATAAGAATCCAGTTCTTTAGCCTTTTGTTTATCTGAGGAAGTTCCTGTTAGGTGTGTACACATTCCCCTTTGTTTCCTGGCCTGCCCTCGGTGAGTCAGGCAGAGGAGGAGTTAGACACAGCATGCTGTTTATTTAGCTAAATCAAGGGCTCTTTTGATGAGTGATGTTTTCATGCAGGTTATAGAGATTAGAAATAAGCTGGAAAAAGCCTTGTTAGAAAACATTTTGTTGATACCTTATATAAGTACAGCAGAAGGACTTTGTTTTACATTAGAGATGGGGAACTCTATAGTAAATGATGGAATTTGGTAGATTAGGAGGTAAGAAAAAAAGTTCCAAAGAGGAGCTTTTGTTCTAATAGTGGTAGGTTATTGTTATACAGTGGTATATTTTCTGTTCTCACGTTGGACCTAGGCTTGTCACACTTAATTCTGGATACCTAGCTCAGGTGCCAAGTGTTAAGAGCCTAAACTTCTCCAGTTAGTGGAGAAACAGTGGCATCATGGGGAGGGGGGGTTCAGATGAAAAGCAACCTTATACATTCTTGGAAGCATCTCCCTTTCTTCTTCGTATGTTGAGTCTCAGACCAATAAGCTACTAAGTAAGGCGCCTAAATATAGATGGGAACAATTGGGTCTTCCTGCACAAACTCTGCTAAAATGTGTCTTTCCAGTAGGGGATCAGACAGAGTAAGCTAGGAATCCAATAGAAGCAATAGCAGGAAGCTGTAGGCAAGATGTATCTCTGGTCATTTGACATACTCTAACTTCTTTACTTGTGGCTGGAGAAGTTGGGTGCTGCTGTTGGGCAAACTTTAGCAGAAGAGGTTCAGGAATCACTCCCACCTTCACTGGGCGTGTTGTCATGTATGTGAGAGAAGTGGGTGAGAAGGCTAAATTTGTGTTGCTGAGTTTACGAGGGAGTTGCTTTTTAATGCAGTTGCTAACTCTTCTTTTTTTCTTAGCATGAATTTCTTAATGCTAGTTGGTTTTCATTACTAAAAATTTTGAATTTCAGTATACCTTCAGCTTGTTCTTAAAGTATGTTTTATTTAAGCCTAAAAATGCCTTTTGTGACTTGTAGAATTGTTGCATTTGAGACCATAGCGCTTTACTAAGCTTAATAGACTTGATGTAACTATGGTCCTATGGTGGGTGTCCAGTTCACTGCAATTTTTTTTTTTTTTTTGAAAGAGGAGTTTTCTTAGGTTAGAAAAAAGTTGTTTTGTATAAGTAATTTTCTGTTGCTCTGGGAGGCATTTTGATTTTACATCCGACAACTAGAGTTTTCAGAGGATATTTTTTATCTAGTTTTTATCTTAATTTATTTAAATCTGATGTTTGTCTCGTGAACCTTATTTAATTCATTTTTGAACTGGTTTTTGTTTATCGTGGTAGAACCACTGCCTAAGTGTATGACACTTTTAAATGAAGAGATGTTGCCACACATTTTCAGAGGTGTTGTCTCTCCAGTTAAGCATGCATACATGTTAAAGCATATACCCTCTTCCTCGCTCATTTGAAATTACCATTTCTTACTAATTTAGTAACATCTACTGATGAGAGGAAAATTGTCTTGTCAGGAGGAGTACTTCTGTAGCTGGCTTGCTGCTGGCCAGAAACAATAGATCTCCCTGAGTGAGGGTTAACTGTTGGAAGAAAACCTACCACCACCATCAAGAAACCTTCCCCAGCTTTAGGAGAGCATAATAAATTTGGACAATTTAATCTTTTCTGGGCCTCAGTTATTGTTGTTCCTTCCTATCATATGGACTTCATATTGAACTAGTGTTCACATACTAGGAAAGTGTGTGATTGTTTGCTTCTTCTCTGCATTCTTTGTTGTTCATGGATTGTGTAATTTTGATGTTAAAACCTGATATACACAGACATATCAAGCAATTATATATAGTATTTACGAATAGCTTGGATAAGTGGACAAGGGCAGCTTGCTGTATCCATAAAGCTGAATGTTGTAATTATACTGATTTGCATTGTTTGCTTTTCATTTCAGGCTTTTGAGGATCTCAACAAACTAATGGAGAAGGTATGGCATATGTTACTTACCCAAGTAGATTTATGCTTGTTTTCTCAGTTTTAAGCATGCTTTTCACTGTCGAGCTGAAAGTTGACTTATCCATATGTCTTTCTTAATAGGCTAAGGAGATGGTGGAATTATCCAAGTCAATAGCTAATAAGATTAAAGAAAAACAAGGTGATATCACTGAGGATGAGGTAAATTGTTTGATTTTAAAGTCAACAGAAGTGTTCCTATGCAAAGCAAAAAGCTATCCATTTAATACATGTAATGTTAATAAAGAACACTTCATGATTATTTTTTTTTGTGATTTAATTCTACATAAAGTAAAAGGGATTTACTTGTTTAGTGTTAGCTTGTCTTTTGACCCCTTTTAAAAATAATGATTTTATTGCCTTTGCGTAAATTTTTGTATTTTTGAGCTCTGCTGGTCAAGAAGAAATCGTATTAAGTCTTCCCTTCTCTTTGCTAGTAATTGGCTTTATTGGTAGTAAAATGAATGTATTTATTCATTAAAACTGTATGATAGTAATAAAATCAAAGACTTTTAAAAACCAGAATCATTCACTAGGTGATGTACTTTTAAACTTGTTTGTTTAGACTATCAGGTTCAAGTCCTATCTACTGAGTATGGGTATAGCTAATCCAGTTACTAGGGAAACATATGGATCTGGTACACAGTACCACATGCAACTGGCAAAGCAACTGGCTGGAATACTGCAGACACCATTGGAGGTAAAGTACCTAATATTGCACCAGCATTTTCCATGTGTTGCTAAATTTTGATAGAAATGTGTTTTGACTGTACTACTGTGCCTCTTTTTAAAGCCCCAGATTTAGCAGCACAGCCTCATATTCAGTGTTTATGAAAGGAATATATATCCTCTTTCAGAATAAGAAAGCTTAAATGTAAGTAAAAATTTTTCTTTGGAGTAATGGCAACTCAAGTTCTAATTTGCAAAATATCAGTGATATTCAGAAAATCATACTAGCAGTCCTTCTTCTGTTTGAACAGCCCTGATTTCATCCATTGCTGCAGAATATTACTTTTATAAGGAAAGAGTGAAACAACACTGACTTGGAAAATAGAAGTAGTCAGTCTTTAAACTCCTTCAAAATTACACATTTTGCAAATGTAGCACAGAGTTATTACATAGATTGCCCCCCCTTAGTAATATCTCATGTTTTAATTGATCCGAAGCTATTAGAGAATTCAGGAGTCTCACCAAAAAGTTAGATTTCATGTTGCAATTTACAGGGCTATATGTCTGCTAAAAAGCATAGATGTTACAGTATTCTTGCGAAAGCTGTGTGCTACCTACTATGATGAGAACAGAAAACTGAGTGTGTCTGAAAAGTAAAAAAACAGTAAATTGATTGATTGATTTCATATATTGAAATTCCTTATTCCTGAGATTTATTCTTTGCTTTAAAACCAAAGTAATTCACATTATTTGGGTTACAGTATCAGTGGTTTGCGTTTTAAAATGATTACAGGAAGATGCATCATAAAAAACTTACCTCACACAGCAGAAATAAATAGTATTGCCTGGGTAGGTTTTTTTTCACTAAGGCCTATCAATGAGCTTCTCTGTTTTACCTGTTCAGTCAAATGCAAGTTGAGAGACTGTGTTTATGAGATTAATGCTATTTCTCTTACCAGTCTTGTGCTTAACACAGGAGCGAGGAGGGATCATGTCACTTACAGAAGTGTACTGTCTGGTAAATCGTGCACGAGGATTAGAGGTGAGAAATTGGGTTTATTAAATATTTCATAAAGTACACTTCAGTAATAAGGTAATTAAAGGAAAAGGGTCAAAATATTCCCTACCAATTGCTTGCACTACCTGTCTAACAGCATGAAGTGATCAGCCCTTTATTAAACTTAGGGGTTTTTTACCATTTTCCCTTCTCCACTTCCATGTAATTTTTATGTGTCCTCTGCAAATTGTTATAACGTATGCTATTTTTTGTAATACCATATAAAAGGGAAAATCCATCTTCATTGTGAAAGAAAACTGGAAGGATGGAGAAAACTAAAAAATGGTGAATGTTTGGAGTTTTTACAAAATAGATCAATTTTTTCTGTGAACAGGGCAAGAAGGATTATTACAGGACACATAGTCAGGAAACAGAAAAGAGCATAGAAGCCAAGAAAATAGACTGCACAATACAAAGAAAGAAAGCTAGAACAGTATTGTGTAGCCTGGTCTGTTTTATAGCTGTTGTTACTAAAAGTGTTTGTTTTGGTGTTATGGTGTATACTTGAAATGCAAGCTGTGAATAAGTATGTTTTACTATTTTAATAGTTGCTGTCACCAGAAGATTTAGTAAATGCTTGTAAGATGCTTGAGTCACTGAAACTACCACTAAGGTAAAGCTTTACAGATGTATTTATAAAACATGGCACTCTTCAAGGCAGACTGTGGTGTTTTGATGAGTTAGTTTACCTGCAGTAGATTGTTTTTTGTCTTTTTAAGTAAAGTTATGCTTTGCTGAAAGAATGCTGCTATATGCTCCAACATCCTCTCTACATTAAAATACAAATTTTTAACCATGGTTTACTTTGCTAGGTAGGCAATATTTTTTTTCACTTCCAATATAGTTTTTTCAGACTGGGACAAGTGTTTACTAAGCCCTGCTCTTTTCAGTCTCTGTAGATTTTTTAAAGATACTTTTAATGTTAAGTTAATTTTACAGAGGGTTTTATTTGTGTTTGTTTTCCTTTTGTAATGTGGTTATAGATGTGGGTGCATTAGAAATGTGACCATAGGTGATGTGAGCAGGGATTTTAGTTACTTTGACTCTGTCTTTGGATTTTAGGCTTCGGATATTTGACAGTGGTGTGATGGTGATTGAACTCCAGTCTCATAATGAAGAGGAAATGGTAGCTTCTGCTTTAGAGACAGTAAGTGTCTTTCATTTCCTTCAGTGTTCTGACCGTGCTGAGGAAATTTAAACACATTAGGTATAAAAACTTAAGGTACAGGATTTCCTTTTGAGGTTTTGAAATACAAAATATTCCACTTTAAAATCTAACAGTAATACTAAAATAGCACTTTTCATCTTCAAAGTGCTGTGCAGGCAATAATCTGAAGTCATTGCTTTCTCCTCAAGGGATAAAGCATTTTTCCATCTCTTTTCAAGCTTCCTTAACCTTCAGCCTTCCTCTAAATCTTTTGTGCTGTAGGATGAATCCATGGCATGTATTAAGCACTTAATTTAACAGAAGTGGACTTCAGACTGTACACAGTGTGCTTGTAGGCAGTGAAAGTAGCTCTTAATTCTTGTTTAGCTTGGGTTTATTTCATAAAAGAGCACAATGTATGTGTAACATCCTGTACTGATTTTGGTGCTGTGAAGAGCACTCGGAGAGTAGCACGTATATAATTAAGCTTAAGGAAAAAATAGTATAAATTGCTTGGTGAGGTAAACCTTTGTGATCTTGCTACCTCTGAACTCTTTAAAGTCCTGCATTTGTCCATTAGTCCATTATCTGTGGACTAATGGACATATTGTCTATGGATGTATTGTCCATTAGTCCATCCATAGAGTCCATTATTTGATGCATTTTCCTGTGTCTTTTACAGTGGGATGTATTTTTTTTTTTTTGTTTTTCATAAAGTTGAATAAAGGCTGATTCAATGTATCCAAATTTAAATATCAAAGTCAAAACCGACTGACTTGGGCAGTCGAGATAAAACAGAGCTATCACAGACACTTTTTCACATGATACGTGGGGTAGACTCTTCAGTGTGTTTTGTATAATTGTTACCATATAGCTTTCTCTCATCAAAAAGATTTTTAGATGAGAGAAATGTATGCAGCTGTCTAAAAGATTCCATCCTAAATTATCAAAACTGAAATCTTTCAATGTATGTTAGTCCTTTCAGTTTATTTTCTTATATTGACAGTAAAACACTTAAACCATTTTAGTTGCTTTTTTCTGATTATTTTTTGTTTTAATTAATTTGGTGCCTTCAGTAAGAGTGCTTATCTCTTTGAAAGGAAAGGAAAAACCTTTTCTTGATAACAAATGAGGTCAACAGCAAAAAGCAACAGATGGTGGATTTATTACCCAAGTGCCATTTTTCTTTTATTTTCATAATATGAAACTCTGACTCCATAGAAAAATGTAAGGGAGAGGATTTGAGTGAGGAGGGCTAGCCTATAAGAGAAGATCAGACTTGTGGCCAGAAGCACCCGGTGCTTAATGTATCATGTACAGTAACATGAAACTTCTGAAAAGAAATGAAGTCACAGGCTTTCAGACAGGAGAGAGGTTTTGAGCAGCTGGTGAAGACAGGGGGTCAGAGGAACCCAAAGTCACCCTTGGCAAGAGTAGTGGTTTAGGAAGGAAAGGTAAGTATAATAATAATACCCATATGCATATTAAATTGTGTAGCTGACTTCCATTACCCAGATGTGATCACATAGCTTCATAATGTCTCAAGTTAGGACTAATTTAATCTGAGTTTCTGTAAAAAGACTATTGCTGAGAATGATGCAGAATAGACTCCTCCCCACCAAGTCAGATGGGAAGCAGGAAATGACAACTTCATCTGGATCAGTGGAGAAATGGAAGAATTATTGATTTGTAGGGTAAGAAAACACGTTTATCTGTGAAATTCAATGCAGTAGCAGTAAGACTAGACTTCACACCTAATATTTTAATACTGCCTATGCAATCTTTGTGGCTTTAAACTGAAAAAAAAAGGTTGAATTAAATGAGATATTAAGAAGTTCTTTACTGTGAGGGTGGTGAGGCCCTGGCACAGGCTACCCAGAGAAGCTGTGGCTGCCCCATCCCTGGTAGTGTTCAAGGCCAGGTTGGACAGGGCTTTGAGCAACCTTGTCTAGTGGAAGGTGTCAACTGCCCATGGTAGGGGGCGTTGGAACTGGATGATCTTTAAGGTCTCTTCCAACCCAAACCATTCTGTGATTTTAGCATGCATTAACTATCCTGGCTGAAACAATGGTGCCAAAGTTTTGAGTCCCTGGACTGAAAAAACAGTTATCTTTTGTGTCAACTGAATGTGATGGTGGACTCTTACTGTGCCCTGTAGTATGCTGTAATATCGGGTGGAGTACTGAGGTTTGGTCATTTTTCTATAGGCAGTAGGAATATTTTAAGTCACATGAAACTCAAAATTCTGCACTTCCATCTGGGATGACTTAAATTTCTGAATCTGTGATCTGCCCTGGATAGGTCTTTTATTTCTCATTTAGGCTTTACTGTTTGCAGAATCACTTAGTATAGTTGGGCTGTGTAAATACTGGCTGTGACAGTACACTACTGTCTGAGCTATTCGGGTTTTTCCATTCATTTCATCCCAAGGTATCTTAAAAAATTATATTTTTTTTGTGATATATTTTTTTTACAGATTTAACTCTTTTCTACTTTCTTTCTTTATACTTGGCAATTTTACCAGGACACAAGAAGAGGTATTTGTAAGGGGAAATACTCATAATTATTTGTACTTTTTAAAAATGCAAACAAACCGCTTGTCTCCACAAGGGATTTGCTTACCAGTTTATCACTGCCGAAGGCTAGACCTGATTCAGGAGCTGAGAGAACTTGACTGTTCTTTTAAGGCCAGTTTGTTTATCTGTGTATTTGTTTTGTAACAGGTATCTGAAAAGGGTTCTCTCACAGCTGATGAATTTGCTAAGCTGGTGGGGATGTCTGTTCTCTTAGCCAAAGAAAGGTCGGTAATATTTGCTGTGTTTAGTACCTTCACTACTATGTGTCTGCCAGTAACACAGCCGTCTTCTTTTGCTTTCTCTAGGCTGCTTCTTGCTGAAAAGATGGGCCATCTTTGCAGAGATGATTCAGTGGAAGGCTTGAGATTCTACCCCAATTTATTTCTGACACAAAGCTAATGCAGTTTGTGTACAATTCGTTGTGTAACGGTTTAGCAAGTGAACAGAGAGCAGAACCCTTCCAACAACTGACCTTACATTTGTTATTTTGTTATTCAACTGCAACAGTGATGAACATTGCAATGCTTTGCAGTTCTCAGGTATTTCATGTGCTGAATCCTCTTACGTGGAGCTGAAAGGAAATAGGAATCAGTCAGAAGCATGTGAATTGTCTCAAGTTTCAAGTTTTGTTTGATGTGTTCTGTAGTTTCTCGTTAAGGGAAGTCAGATTAAGATTTCACACAAGTGAAAAGAATATCCTTGTAGTCTGCCATGGGGGTTAGCACCCAAAAGACAGGTTACTGCATACCCTAGTTTGTTTATGTCTAGAGCAACAAATTAGATATATCCATAGTGATAAGAAAAGTGACTTTGATGTGTACCGAGGTATAAGGAACAAACCTAGTGTAGCATAACCCCTTCTCCCTGAAGTGATGAACAGTTTTCTAAAAGAGGACCTTGGGCTTCTTGTACTTTGTGACAGAAGGAACCTGCTGCTGGACAGATTAACCTATGTTATGTGAATCTAGAAAATGCAGTGTTTGTTTTGTAATGTCTTATGCTAATAGCTCAGATAGAAGCATTGTTAGCACAGACTTCCTCCCTTCTCTTCCCTTGCCATCTTCCTTCCTGGCTCATTATGGTGCACTTCGGTGCCCTTTCTCTGTCTTCTCTTCACATAGTGGAGCAAAGTAGCCTCCTGTCGCTCTACTAGACTCCATTCTTTAATGTGTTGGGTTTTATTTTCTGCTTGTATTGAAAGATCATTTGTTTGTTTCATCAGCCTTTATCTGTTTTGGAGAGACGGCTTACTTATATATGAAAATTAATATACTTTCAATATTGAAGGGAGGAAGAAGACTATCACCCTGTGTTTAATAGTCATGAGGTATCATATTGTTTGGTATTCCTCACCCTGTGTTCACACTGAATGCAATTTGATAGTCTCAGTTTTCATAACTCCAGTGGAGTTGTTACATTACTTGAAGATCTGTTGTCATGGTAATAACGGTAAGTGGATGTTCACTATCCACGTCACTTACATTTTTGGCATTTTGAAGTGACCAGCTTTAATAAATAACAAAATTAATGCAGGCTATGGGCAAGACAGCACATAAATAACTACACTGTGGTCACAATGGCTAAATTGATACTACAAAAAAAGGAGGAGAAAGGCTTTTAAGAGCCTGCACATCCTTTCAGAACTACTTCAGTATTACCATAGCTTAGACAAGGGTTAAGAGCCTGTCAATGAGGAGTTCAGTGCAGAGATCCCTTCAGTGATGATGACTTTGGGTTATAGGATGCTCATTTAGATCCAGGGAATTGTGTCCTCCTACCCTTGTCACAAGCAAATGTTTATGCAGTTTTCCTTTAGGGCAGTTTTCCTCTGTTTTATGGAGGTGCTAAAACTAAGGTATTTGGCAAAATTGAAGGAACCAGTTCCACACTGTTCTTACTGTGTTCGCCACCTAGTATCATCTCCTCAGGAGCCTTATGGCTTGATGCTTTTCTTCATCCTCTCCACAACCCACAGAAGAGACCTATGTGAGGTACCCCAGGCATCACACATCTATGAAGGGACTGAAAAGTGAGAAATTCAGAAGAAAAAAGCTGGTTTGTGACAACTGTTTCTTTTGCCTGATACCCGAACTTGTAGAGGGAGACCAGTGGTTTATGGGCCTGAACCTCTCCCCACAAGGGGGCATGTCTTCTGTAGAAAGAACAAACCAGAAAGGAGATGCCAAGTGAAAGCTCCCAGCCTCTGTCCTCCAACCCTGAGCATTTCATTATCTTAATTAAGCAATAACAATACAGCCTATTTAGAATGATGATACTTTCTCCAGCTTTTCTTTCCCAAGTTTTGTCTTTGACTTTTTTTTTCTACAGGGAAGAAATCTGAGAGGTAAATTGTATAGCTGGTTTAGAATTTAAATATATACGTGTGAGAAAATGACTACTAGAAAGTAATAAAAATGAAAAGATTTTTCTTAAATAGACTGCTTTGTTGTTTTTTTCATCCTAAATATTTTGGGGAGCTTTAAAATCTTTACACATCAAAATCTTGTGGTTGTATGGGGCAGGTTTTTAAAGCATGTCATGTTTTTGCTGCCTCATTTTGTACCTAAAAGGGTACAAGATGGTTTTGATTTCAAATTAAAAGGCAGCGTTAAATGTAATTAGAATGCCCTGGTTCTGTTGCTGAGCAGCCTGCGACCCATCCCAGCCAGAATCACAAAACCACTGATGTCTACACAAGCACAAGTTTCACAAGGGAACCAGTCTGAGTGAGCCAAGCATGTCTCCTGTGCTAACACTGGAAAGGTGTTTGACGCATGTTTTCCCAGCTGGAAGACAACAGCAAGCCTATCTGTGATACCATACTGAAAGCCCGTTGTTTGGCAAACAAACGGAATGACATGTTTATGGGTGTGTGGTACTTCACACTGAAGCTGTCATTGCCAAGGCCTGTTTCCGTTGGTACTACCCACAAAAAAATCTGTTGACTGTCTCAAAGCAAAATTAAAGGAGAGAGGAAAATAGAAAAGTTGCCACTCACAGATCATTCTAGTTAAATACAGAAGGTGTCTATATGAACCTTTCATGTTTTGATTATTCCTAGGGTATTTGTGTTACTATATCTGAAAATTATCTCCTTTTGCCAGGGCTGCCCGCTTACACAGTCCTTTGAAGAGAGGTTTGTAACAAAGGTCTGTTCAAAAAGTACTTGTTTGGTTTTTTTTTATGGAGCAATTTTAGATGATGATTACATTTTTCATGTGAAAACATAAGCCTTCTTACACCTCTGATAGGAAAAGAGCACTGCCCAGGAATCATATAGAATATTTTGGGTTGGAAAGGAGCTTAAGGTCATCTAGTTCCACCCCCGCTGCCATGGACAAGGATCTATACATCTTTTCCATTTCTCCTTTGCATGTGTTTTCAGGAAAATGGTATTCAGCCTGTGGAAACATGGATCTAATCTGACCCATATTTCTGAAGTTCAAACTTTTTTATTTCCTCTGCAAGATATGTATGTCTGTGTGTGTAGTTGGAAGTCTTCAGAAGTGTATCTTTACTAATTGTTACTGGCTGCATATATATAAACTCTTCTATGCTCAGTTCTTTTAACCAGACTTTGACAGTTTGTCCAAGGGTCCTGACTGTGCTGCTTGTAAGATCAGTGAAGTGTTGTCACCAAATTCATGAGAACAGCAGTGGGAGACAGTGGGAGCCTGTTGCTGACAGTTGAAGCTCCTGCTTCCTTAAGCCCAGGAGGCTCATTTGCAACTGGGAAGTTCTTTCAAAATACCCACTGAAAAGGCAGGAATGGCTGATTCAAAATCATTTGAGGATTTGATTGGCAATCACTGCTTTCTTTCAGAGGAACCCCTATCCAGTGGCTTGGGGTTTGGTTTGTGTTTTTTTTTTTTTGAGCTAGATTCACAAACCTGTCAATTACATTCATTGCTTCTCCTATTTTAGCTGCTCCTGTTTCATTCTAATTCTCATGCTTCAGGCATCCGCATGAAATACAAGGCACTCTAGTTCCAGGTCATCTTCTGCTGGGAAGACTTCAACTATTTTCTATTCTCCCAAGAATGAACTGCAAGTACTTATGCTGAGACGATACTCTGTGCATGTCTGTTGGCAACACTGGTCTTTATTTTAAGGAAATACTCCAATGCTTTTTGGAGCAGAGGCCCAAGTGTCAACCTGCCCAGCAGGCATGAGAGTCATTTTGCTTTGTGGTTGAGAATTAAAGTATTATTCAAATACTAAAAAAAAAACAAAACAAAACAAACTGTCCTGGGTTCAGCAGTAGCAGTCATTTTCCCCCTTCTTGGTAGCTGGTGTAGTGCAGTGTTTTGACAGAGATATTCTTTGGCAGTCAAAACACGGCACTACACCAGCTACCAAGAAGGGGGAAAATGACTGCTACTGCTGAACCCAGGACACAAACCAAACACCAAAACAGAAAAAACTTCAGGAGTGAGAGAAGAAACCAGAACACCCCCTAGCCTGCTAGTCAGCACAGAGTAGTGAGAAGTAGATCTGACAGAAACCACCCTGTTTCATACCCCTGCTGCAGAACAAAGATGAGCTAGGATCATAGGTCTCCTGCTTTCCCACTGAAATGCCATGATTTCAAATTCCCACTGATGAAAGGGCAGACTAAACCCTGCTCTGCCATGATCAGCAATGATGAACAGCAAGTTCTAGGCTGGAATAGTCATAGCATCTCTCTGAATCCAGTCCTGCTCTGACCATGAGGCTCAGATTATTTAGACGTTCTGCATTGTTTTGTTCAATTCGAAGTATTTTATGTACTTGGAGGGTTTCACTTGGCTGATGATGAATTATCATACAATCACAGAATGGTTTGGGTTGGAAGAAACCTTAAAAGATCATCTAGTTCCAACCCCCTGCCATGGGCAGTCACCTTTCAGTAGACCAGTTTGCTCAAAGCCCCAAAATCATTAAAATTAGCTCAGGGAGTAAGTAAAGGGAGGAACTGATATAATCTAAATGCTGTTGCACTGTATTTTTTAAAATCAAAAGTCAAATAAAATGGTGCTCCTGTGTTCTTTGCTTCATACATGCAGAACACTCCCAGAAACTCAAAGCCAGGAGTTGTTATTTTCTTCTAACCAAACAATTTGCAGGAGGATACATGCTGTGTGAAGTACCTTCTTTTTGCAAAGAACAATAAAGGCACAGCATAAATTTGTGTCTGTTGCTGGTACAGCATTTGTACGGTGGCTATTTAATGATTCACTTCATGTAGGTAGAATTCTTTTCAAATGTTGCCTAAATATAACAGTATTTGACACGGTGCATGAGAAACGTCTGTTCTTCCAGCCAGACTCAGCAGTTGTGTGTGTGTGTGTGTGGTGTAATTCCCCAGAGTTTCACTTCACATCGGATGGAGAATTTGAGGTGTGTCCTTAAACTGCAAAGATACTGTGGTTTGATCCACCCATTAAATGAGAATGGGAGGACTCCCACCAACCTCAAACCCAACCTTTGTTGTAATTATCTAACACTGACTAGTTAACAGCTCTGAAAGTGGCTGCAGTGGGTATGGCCCAGCTCTGACAGCACAAAGGAAGCGCTTAAAAGATATTATGGAACCAGATCACAAAATGTTTTGGCCTCATTAGTAGAAATACTGAACTAGGCACAACTGTTGCAAAGGGACTATTTTTGATCTTTCTGCATTCCTATTGTTGTTTCCACAGTGTTTTGGGAAAGCCTGAGATAAGGGTAATTTTCTTTTCCATTAGGACTATGATCTATTTATAGCTTACAAGGCCAGATTAGACTACTGACCATCTTGCTTGACCTTTTGGGTAACAGAAGCTGTAGGACTTCCCTTACTTCATTTGTGTTTGAAGTAGAACCCCTTTTGTCGGATCAACAAGAGACTGCAACTGTAGGGAAATCCCACTGCAGCTCTGGGCAAATTATTCCAATGACTATTACCTGTTGTAAAAATGTTTTCAGTGTATGTCATCAGAGTTTGGTTAGCTTCAGCTTCTAGTTGCTGGACCTTATATTTAAGAAGTCCCCTATTATGGGTGACTTCCCTTCATTCCAGGTGTCCTTAAATGTAACTGTTTCTTGAACAGATAAATCATTTGGAGTTCTGCCCACCACACTGTTCTATTTTCTGCTCTTCACAGAGTTACCCATTGTTCTCTCATAACCTTAAATTCCGAACACCAGCACTGGACCAAAAAAAGCTATTGTAAAAGTATTGGTTGCAGAGCTAATTTGTGTCCCCTGGCTTTATACTCGCAGTCTTCACATACAGACTCCATGCCACGCTATCAAACATGTGCTTGAACCTATGTTTGTGCTCAGTCCACTCCCCAGCCACACAGCTTAGACACAAATACAACTTAGATCATAGAATTGGTTAGGTTGGAAAAGACCTGTAAGATCTGGTCAAACCCAGCACTGCCATGCCCACCACTAAACCATGTCCCTGAGTGCCACATCTACATATCTTTTAAGTACACCCAGGGATGGTGATTCCACCACTTCCCCGGGCAGCCAGTTCCAGTGTTCAACAACACTTTTGGTGAAGAAATCTTTCCAATCTGAATCTTCCCTGGTGCAATTTGAGGCCCTCTTCTCTTGTCCTATTTCTGCTGAACTCTCATTCCTGTGGGCATCTTAACAAAGAGGGAAAGTGGGGTTTGAGGGTGGTCTCCTGTAAACCTGCACTAGGCTAAGTGCACTGCAGCCTGGCTTCCCAGTGGGTGTCCAAAGCTAGTCTTGTCTTAAACATGGCATAAATACTGCAAGCCTGAGCCATAGTGAAGTTATTAGCCAACAGGGTTGATGGAGGAGCTCAGGACTTCAGATTAAGCTTCCCCAGCAGCTTACGGATGCTTTCCTGCAGATTTGCTTCCTCAGGCATTGTTCTTCATGCTATAGTTTGTATGACTACTTCTCATAGTTACAAATAAATTTTACTTGATCATCTCTTTATTTTGACAAGATACCAAGGGTAGCTACTCTCTCCCCAATTTTTCTACAAGTTTCGTGTTTCCTCATAGCAACTTGGTCATACTTCTTGTGCTTGGTCATACTTTCAGGTGGGATATTGGCAAAACTTGTAAAAGTAAGGTGACATCTTTCTCAGCTCAAAATCTGTGCGTAGCAGCATGAACTAACTGATGTGACAGCGGGAGCTCCAACTACCTAACAGCTCAGTATGATCTCCAGATCTTTGTAAAGTAATGAGTATCCAGGAGGGAGCTGCACATCCTGTAAAGCATGTCCTGCAGTCTTTGTTCCTAGGTATGTAATTTTGTGGGAGCTATATTAAAATACGTATTGTTTGCTAAAGCCCAGCTTACTCAGAGAGTGTTCTGTGATGTGTCTTCAGGACTTACCATTCTTCCAATTCATGTTATCTGAAATCTTGAGCAGTGAGGATGTTACATCTTCTTTTAGGTCTTCGATAAAAGTTTTAAATTGCTG